GCAGTAGCTAGATATGATGCAGCAGTTTCTTAGTGCTTAAGGAAGGTTTAGAGTCCTAGGCGTGGTTCTGCTTTGTCTCAGGTGCCAAAGACCAAGGACAAAGGACACGCGAAACAAGCAGGGGCTGCAGGAACCAGCTGGAATGCAAAATGGCATCAAGTGAGACAAATGCACGTATCATAACTGCATCTTTTATTTCCAGTTTTTAAATATTTTATCACAGGAAGAAAACCGAATGTCAAATTTCAAAACCAACTCAGAATTAATAGGAAGGAATAAAGAGATGCTGCTTGAGAGGGGCCATCCCAGGAGAACTCCGAGTCACTTGTTCGGAAGCATTTCTTGAAAGTTTGGCAACGTTCCTCAACAACCTTGCCCTGGCAGTACAGGACAGCACGCTGCTGCTGCGTCCTCTGCTCCCAGGGAGCAGAGCAGGCCAGGAAACCCTGAGCCATCGGCTGCCAGAGGATGCAAAGTATCTCCTTGCTTGCAAGCCACTTCCCACCGCCCCTGCGCAGCAACTAACTCATCACCCACCCTCCCTCCTCGCAGGATAGAGAAGCCTTGCAGCGAAAGGTCCTCAGTGCACCCGTCTTCAGGTGAGAGAGTCACTGGTGTGATCCTTTGTCCCACTGCATGCCGGGCGAGCCGCCCCAGCGGTCTCTGAGCACTGGCCTTGCTCCTGCCCAAAGGCAGGTGCCATGAAAGCATTCCAGGAAGGCAACACAACGCAGGGGTTATATTCCCACCCGTCCCGCCCTCATGTCATCCATCTTCTGAACAGCGAGAGTCTGCCAAGCTGCAGGGCTGTGCTCGCTTGCCTGGGAGGCAGTGCCGCTCTCCCCTTGCCTTACAGTTTCCATACCTTCCTATAGAAACACAAGAGCACAACACAGTCCTTGTGTTTCTATAGCCCCGTGCAGCTGCTTCCCACCAGATTAATCCCTCTTGGGCCCAGCTCTGCATTGCCCTGTGGCCCCTTCAAGCTGCTTTAAAGCCTATGAAAGGAGCCTGGACCTTCCCAGCGCATGCTGCCCTCACACAGGGGGTTCCCCGGGCAAGAGCACATCGGGGGGACGGGGTGCAACAGGAGCACTCCTGTGCTGCACGGTCTGCGCTGTTGCACTGTTTTCCCCCAAAGGGCTATAACAGCTAAATATATATTTTATCAGCTAAATATATATTTTATTTTTATAATTTACATCAGAGGTTGGACTTGGAAAAGAGGTGGCGATGGGGGTAGGTGAAGGTGGCCAAGAGCCCCGGCAGCAAAATCAACACCATCCCCTGACCCACCACGCACACACGTCTCTCTCCCTCTCATACATTTACCTCAGCCAAGTGAAACGTTCTCTTTAAAAATAGGACTGTTTTGGAGCTTTTGCTGTGATAAGTTACAACTCTTTCTAAGTTCACTCATGAAAAAAATTACATCTTGAAAAATATAGCCGAAAGGTTTGGCAGTGATCCAGCAAAGCCAGAAAAAAAAAATAAAGTGGAAAAAACCCCGCCACTGCAAAAACACACATTCTTCTTGCAGACCCTTTCATCAAGGCCCTAGGCATACTTTACAAACTTAAATTAAAACCTCTAAGCCTGCGTGAATAGAAAGCTGCTACTTACATAGGCTTCTGGTTAACTGAGTGAAAACAGAACCGAAGAAGAAAGTGCCCCCGTTGATGGGGAAACCTCCTTCTCTCTGCCCACCTTCTTCCCCCAGTCCACCAGACACAAAAATCTCATGTTGCAGTAAGTCTGCAGCTTTTGACATGAAGATCAGATGGCAGCAAAGATGCCTCCACAGACCTGCAACGGAGTGCCGAGGTGGCCAAGCGAGGGCCAGCGCGGGCTTGGGAGATGCACCAAACCCAGCCAGGTCACTCACAGGGCTCACACAGCTTGTGGAGACTGACCCATACACGTGACACTGCAGCAGGGTAGGGGCTGTCCCATGCCACCACCCCAGCACTCTGGTAATGAGTAGCAACCTAAAGTTAGATTTTTGAACAGAAGGCTGGTCTTGATGAGGTTCATCCTTGAACACAAAGAATAGGCTGTCAAGCCGTCTTTTAGTGGTTTGCTGTGGTCTCACACCAAGGAGGCGTGAAACACCTAGTGACAAGAAAAGGGCAAAATTATTTTTAAAAAGAAAGGGAAACTGAACACCTGCATCTTCTTAACTGCAATCCTCAGGGAGATACAGGGACAAAATACTTACAAGCACCTGGAAGGATGCAAGAAAAAAGAAAAGAACCTTTTTTTGCTTTGTTTTAAATGAGAACAGAGCATGCCAGATCTTTCTGATCTCCCCTGCAAGAAGGCTGCAAGCCTTGTGGGAAGGGGTAAGCAGCAGGCATCATATATTCTTGACTTTACTAAGGCTTGTGAAGTATCCTCCCAAGGTACTCTAAAGGGCAAGCTAAGAAAACAATCCAAATGAAAACACAGAGGAACAGCACAAAATTGGTAGATGAAGTACATGTACAGATTAATTGCTAATAGTTTATGGTCAAAAATGGTTCCTTCATTCCTTCCCATGCCCTAACACACCTACATCTCCTTTCCATATCCCCTAATTACGAGCTGGGCGCCAAGGCAGCCAGCGTACGGCCGGCTCAGGGCTGGCTGTCGGGCAACTCACACTGCAGCAGGGACAACTCGCCTGCCTCCTCTCCTTCACCCAGCTACCACTTCTCATGAAACTTGTAGGAGTTTAATATCCTGGGAGCATCTGCTTCTCTGTCAAAACAGACTGAAACCGGTCCATGAGTTAAAGCATTATCGAGACAGGACTAAGACAGACAGCAGGATCCTTTGCAAACTGGTGCAGAAAGCTGTTCAACAGACCCATGCAAACGGTGCTTCAATTAGATAGGAAAAGTCAACAGCCTGAACACACAGTGGAGAAACAACTTGCTAGACAGCAAACCTGCAGGAGAGGAGCCTGCCGATTACAAGCCAAGCGCAAACAGTGCCGTGCTGTCGCACGCACGCAGAAAATCAAACATCCTACTGGGATGTGTAAACAGGACGTAACCCACAAGGCAGGGGAGAAACCTCTGCAGCGCGCCCCGTCTGCAGCTCTGAGCGCTCACACCATGGGACAGACAGCTAGGGTCAGGGCAGCAAAGCTGCACGAGGTCCAGAAAACATAACCCGCAGGGAAAGGCTGAGCAAGCTGGAGCCAACCAGTACAGAGAAAGGAGGTGGCTGAACAGGGAAATGGGAGCAGTAAGTCTTCAAACTTATGCAAAAAGTGCTTTTTCAAGGAGAAAGGGACTGAAGCACCTCCCAGTTCCTTGGGATACAGAGCAGACAGCTTCTTCTAGTTGTAAGGAAAGTGAAGGACTCAAACAGATCATCTAGAGGGGCTGTGGTGTCTCCAACCCTCCCTCTAGTCAAATGAAGCAAGTCCATAAACTTCTGCCATGATTCCCATGTGGCTGCTTTTGTCTGAGGATGATGCTTTGAGTATTGCCCTGACACCTGCCCTTACAACTCGCTGGGACCATGGCTCACTTTGCACAATTAGAGGTTGAGTAACTTTCCTCTAGTGCATCAGCCAGGCAGCCTTCAGGTAGCACAGCTCTTCAGCCTTGAAAAGGTGAGTCTGAGCTGGATCCCAGGGCATAGAGCAGCTGCCCCACAAGCATACACATGGCTCTGCCAGGAGGAACAGACCCCTTAGTGTCTCATTGGCTTCTCGTGCCAAATTTCTGGGGCACAGCCTGCGTATGACTCAGTGGCAGCTAGGAGGAGGACTCAGGTGATTTTGCAGCTAGCGTAAGGGGCAGGTGCTCAGGAAGGCCACTCTCCAAGAGAGAAGGTGCAGGGGTTCATTGTCCATCCAGCACACAGACCAGTAAGACCTCCTCTATACACAGGTGAGAGCCCTGGGGATTTACATATTCTCTCCATGCTGCCCTAAGGCACAGTTGGGAGTCTGCCAGGATGTCTCTCCAGGCAATGGGGGGCTTGGTACCAGCTCTGCAGCAGCTCAGCTCAAAAAGTACTCCCAATTTACTACTACATTACACACACAACCCTTTACAGATACAGGCTGCTCCTCTGCTGTAAGCTGTGGTGGCTGATCCCACTTCCATCCCAATATATTACATGGTACAATCTGGAGGCGTCTAATACCAGGTCCCAGTTGTGCAGCTTCCTGACCCACAGACAGCCCAGGCACACAGGGCTGGCTGCTGTCTTCTCCTACAGCAGTCCCAGCAAAGGAAGGAACTGGAAAGTCTTTGTACAGTCATCTCCAAAATGGCTTGGTGTCTGCTTCTTCCTTCTGGGATCTAAGACTCCATGCAAGTCCCTTACTGGGTCAACAGGATTCCTCTTTTGTGAATGGCTGTGATGCTCCTGCTATGGACTTTCTTCAGCCCCAGCCAGCCTTGCTCAGCCCTCATCTTCCTGTGACAGGTTTTGTGATGAAGACCCATTTGCTTTTGGAGAAGATGCTCTTTGGGCACAGGCGCTCTCAGAGGAGGGGACAGTGTCCGAGAGCTTCCCCAGCAAGGGATAGGCAAACGCAAGTGCAATGCCTTAAATGGGACATCAACACTCCATTTCAGGCTCTGCCACTGGTTTTTAGCCTGCACACTACATAGATTTTGTCAAGTCACCTAAAATAAGCAGCAATTTGATACTTTTGTGTCGCAGTGCAAAAAGAGCTGGCTTTTCCCTTATACCTGTAGAGGAATAATACCGCTTCCATCCACACTGGGAGACACATACTGCAAGGACCTCAAATATACCACAAAGAACAGAGTGTGTAGGGTGGGTACCTAACCTAAGAGACAGGAACAGCCATTATGAAAACCCTATTTGCTTAGTAATTCAAAGCTGCTTTGTTCCATTGAAAGTAAATACGCAATTTCATGGATTCATTGCAAGGGCTACTGCAAAACCGTAAAAAGCCCCTCTGCAAGTACTCAGTCCTCCTCAGCTGTCCAGCTCCGCTCCTTCAAGTTACATCTGCCAATATAGACCAGCTAGGTTTGCTTGACCTCTTCAGCCCCATGCAGTTCCATCAGCTGGTCTCCTGTGACATCGCCCTTTTTGCTTTTTCTTAATCTGAAGTACCAGCAGAAGCCAGCAAGGGCCAGGAGAAGGATCAGAACCAGCGGTAAGTATAAGATGAAGTTCAGCAGTGGTGGAGATGAGCAGATCCTAGAAAAAACAGTTGACTCTGGAGGGAAAAAGAAAGAAAAAGAAAGTGAGGCCCCAAGCTAGTTTGAGTTTCTCTCCTACTGTTTCTGTAAGTTATCTTCTTATCACTTTTCCCTCAATCTTCAACACCTACCAATTTTTAAGAATTCCTACTGCTACCTGAGGAGAAGGGAGAGAGAAACCAGGTAATTGGCCTCAATTTCTTGTTTTGGGAGGTCAGATAGGGCCCCGGCTCGTTCAGCTGAAACATCCCAACATAAACAGCACGGCTCTTCAGCTAACCTGCTCCAAGCTGGGCTCAGTAAGGAGAAGCCATGTACCCTGCACCCCCTGGGTCCCTGCCCGAGACCAGTGACAGCGGGGTGAGGCAGAGATCTGCTGGAGGCTGCACCACAGAACAAGGAGGGACAAGAGGAAAGCAAAGGAAACCAGATCAAGGAGGTCCCTGTGTCCCCAGATACCTGCCCCTCCTTGCTTCTGCCACTCTGCTATCCTATTTCAGCCACGCTGAGCTGCAGGCAGCTGCAAGCCCCATGCCTGGCAGCTCCTGCAGAACAGCTCCCCAGTTGAGGTGGAGGCTGCCTGTACTGCTGGCAGACCCTCTGGGTACTGCGAAAGCCTGGGTTTGGTCAGCCCGTGCTAGCTGAAAAGCTCTCATTTGCAGCCTCTGCATTTTTGTCCCGGACTTCTTACAGCCACCAACTAATCCTGGCCATCAAAACCTCCTCACTTGGCACACAGCCTCAACACCACAGACTGACCTCAGATGCACTGGCCTACCATGAAGAGTCATACCAATTCCTTCAGGTCTGTTTTATCCATCTCAAAGCGTTGTTCCTCAATTCTGCTCCTCACCAAGACCCACGCACAGATGCTTTACGCTTGCTCTGCAGAACTATGCTGAACATGTGGGTCTGCTGATTTGAAGCTGTCCATGGAGGACCCACACAGCCTGGTGGGCTAGGCGTGACCCTGGGGATGAACCAACCTGGGGGCTACTCCTGGCTGTGAAACTGGCTTTTACCTCTCTACCTCTGAAGCTCTGCGCCCCATCCATATACACGGAAGCAGCATTTACTCTCCCGTAGGAAAACAGGGCGAAGTCTCCACTACATGAATGCCTCTGTAGTACTAGGGAGGTATCCTAAAGGGCAGCATCAGCAACAGGGATTAGAGATGAAGTTACTCCTGGTTATGCGTATACTTGCACATGGCTGTGTCCTTACCCCTCAGAAAACTGAAACATTGAAATCTGTGAGCCAGAGGGGCATTTTGAGATATCTGCATCACTGGAGAAAAACACACACACACAAAAAAAAAAAAAAAGAAGGAAAAAACACCCAACTAATCTCTTGGATTTTGTGAAAACCATGAAAAATACTTGGCCAAAACACTTATACAAAAATTGGAGGAGAATTTTTCAGCAGTTACTGAGCAATTTTAGCAACGGTTACTCCACCAGTACCAGGTGACAAGAGGCAGAGGGAGCTGATGAAGGAGAAATCTGAGTGCTAGAGGGAGCCGTGATGGACAACAGCAGGAACATAACAGCAGGGGGATGAAGTGCTGTCAGTCCTTCCCTGTGCAATTAAATCCAGATTAGCTCTGCTGTAGGCGCAGAGTCATGTGAGTAGGCTCTGTGCATGCCTGTGCCAGTAGCACAGAAGGGAGGGTTCTATAGGGTCCCCCTGAGTTCTTCCACATCAGTCAGCACTGGTAATTGCTGCAGAAGCTATAACCACATGTGGGCACCCAGGCTGGCTTCGGGCATGGCAACTCCAGGGCTGAAGGCACGAGAAGAACTGCAGGATCCTCTCAGCTGGGTGCAACATGGCTGATTCACAGTTCATATTTTTTTCCTCCTATTTCCCCAAAAAGGCAACAAGAGAGTACTTTTTTCCTGCCTGTTACCTCCCTAAAAATACTGTGTGTGCCTGACTGAAACCTTTGCTTTTATTTGTTTGAAATTCTGTATGCAGAATCCAGCTCTATTTTTGCATCTGGCATGCACCCCAACTCACCCCAAGAGGACAGAGGCTGTTTTTAGAGACCTCCCTGGAGATGGACTTGCCAGAAAAATCACACCAAGAATTTTTTCCCCAAAACAGTTAGCGTTCTGGCCCCAATGGCACAACTGAGAGCAGGGGTTTGTGCCCGTGGTCCCGCAAAAAAACCCCAAAACAAAGCGCTGCAGACACAAGAGCACTCAATGGTACCTTCTGAACCACGTGCCTCACAGTCAGAGCTTTTGGCGTCTCATCTGACCACCACCTCCAGTGTTTACAGCGTCAAGCACCTGGGTTTGAGCCCTGGCAGATCGATGGGACTGGGAATGGGATCTCATCGCCTCCCCCTGCCAGGCCCATAGCACGTGTCCCTCGAAGGCTCCCCTCCCCCTCCAGCTCCCAGCACAACTCTGGCAATCTCCCCAGCACTGACCCCCGCTGCAATCCCTTAGCAAGTCCTCCCAGTCCTGCTGCATCCTTGCCATTGCAGCCAGCATCGCCAGCAGA